CCATATTCCTAAAAATTCTTAGTGCTAAAAGTTGCTCCTAGAAGCCATATTCTACAAATTTTCTTAGAATCTTGACCTACTCTTAGAGTAGACCCTAGCTAAGAAAAAAGCTATTCCTAAAGAATCCTAGCTCTTAAGAGAGCTCCTAAGGTGAGATCTCTAAAGAGAGGCAAGAAGGACTTTTAGCAACTTAAAAGGGACCTAATCTTATTTTGTTGGTATATTGTGGTCTTTTTTTGTGTTAAATAAAACTCATTTTGACAGATAGTTTCACCCTTAGCAGTTTCTATCAATAATTATCAAGCAAAAAGAAATTTGCGGAAACATTTCCAAGACTGAAAGATCAAGGCTATGCTCAGTCAGAGAGCAGCCGTCCTCCTGTGGACTCACCACCTGCAGAGGGTCAGTGAGGGGCTGGTGCAATGAGACTTGGGTGGCATCTCTGATTGCCATCCCCCTGACCCAGAAATGGATTAAAGGGTAGAAAATGGATGGATGGATGGATTTCCAAGACCGGAAGTGACGTACACGTAGGGGTCATTGGGCTTTGTTGATATCCTATTTGTAAGCCATAACGTTGTATACGGACGTTTTAAACAGACATTTGTTATTCAGTGATGGACAATACAAGTCCGTTTTTTTAATGAGCCCTTGCGTACTTGTTATGACAGTAATTCTGATTTTGAGGACTCTGACTCAGTTCAGATGAGGAGCAATCTGCAAGAAATGAACATTTGCGGACATTAGGACCTTTTCCACGGGCTGGAGTCATGGATCTATGGTCCGACCGGGTCCGACCCGTCTCGACCCGGTTTGCGTATGCTGTCAGTTTGAGCTCGATGGTGCCACCCGAGTGAGTGTAAATAGCTTAAGTGTTAGCGAAGGTAGCGCTAGGGACAAAGGAATAGATATGGGACATTGTAGTGCAGAGAAAAGTTAAGAAGCATAAAAGTGACTACCGTGAAATGAAAGATCCCAGCCGTAAAAGTGGACAGAACTGAATAGTCTGGAGGTGGTTTGACAACATGGATTCTTTTTTACGGACATCAGCTAACACCAGCTAACATGTCAATACCTGCAACACCAAATGAAAAGCCTCAACTCTATGTCCCAGCTCCAGATGTTGTGTTTGAGAGAAATGGTGAGTGTCTTCAATCAAATGCAAACATATAGCGTTTTGGTCATATTCTGAACGTGTGTCTGTGGTTCTAAAGTCTAAAACGTGATGGTATGTGTCATATCTATATCTTTTACTAAACGTAGTTAGAGTGAAACATGGATTCATGGTTAAATGACAGTTGTGTTTTCTGCTGAATACTGGTTGAAACTTGTAAATTGGTTTTAGTGGACCATAATTTCATGGAACTCGCAGTTTGTGTGGACCGTTGCCTTCTCTGAATAAGTCAAAGATCGTAGGGACTGCTGTTTAAACTCTTCTTTTTTTAACTTTCATTGCTGCATCCCGGGACCATACAAAATAAACACATTTTAAGGTTTATTTGTGTCAAAGCGGCAGCAGGAGCAATAAACAGTAAAGCGGGAGCTGCGACCCCTACAAGTATATCATAATTTTTCTGGCCAATCAGAGGCGTTGATATTAAAAAGTTATTTTAATTACTCATCTATAACACGAAAACACATTGCAAAGGGGGAAATACATGTTTTTAAAGTTTTTAATAAGGAGTTCCCTCCTTATTAAAAGTTCCCTAAGAGCACAAAATGGTGGACGGTAGAGGCAGGAGAAATATTCTATACAATGGATTACAGTGAACCAGTGAATCAGTGAAACGCTACAGATTGAGTCATGCAGGAATCATCTTTGTGGTATATTTAAAAGTCAATCATGTGACCAGCTTCTTATAGGCTGTTCAGTAATCACAGCTGATCCATTTTACCCTTGTTACACGAAAGTAAGTAGAAATGCTAAAAGTTGAAAGAGAAAAAATGACCAGTATGGTAATTAATAAATGCAAGTAAATATTAAAGCCGCAAGCGGCGTTGAACGGCCCTCGCCGCACCGAGCAAAAGAGGTGGCGCTGGCGCGCCATCTTCCTACAGCCCTGATGGGAGCATCACTGTGCATTTTGAATGCCTATGATCCGTGATTGTGTGCCATTGACACATAATGGGGAGTGTTTGTCGACGGCACGGCAACAGGGTGAAAATAAGCCATGTGTGTTCTTTACTTTATATATCAGATTCCAAAGCAGAATTATGTTCAATATTTCAAACATTTTCATCAAACTAACTATCTTTCTGCCCATGTAAAACTGGACTCTGTCTGTAGGGGGCGCTAATGCTGCAATTTCATATTTTAACTTTCAGTTTACTCAAACAGTCTGCACAAATCAGACTTCGTATGTGTAAACAGGAGCTCATCTCCTATATGTGTCCATATACAGTACATACATTCTCCATTGGATGACCATGTGACTAATCCACATTTTACAAACAACTATTGATGGTACATTTGTTGAAATGATGTGGAGCGATTTTCAGCCAAATCGGTAAAACGGCCGAGGCTGGTTTGATGTTTGCGCGAGGTGTATATTTGCCAATTAACACAGAATGGGGAGCATGTGATGTCGCCACGGCAACAGGATAAAAAATAAGTCTTGGGTGTCTTTGATTTTTTGAATCAGGAGGGCAAAACAGAATTATGTGCAAAAAAACTTTGAAATAGTCTATAGGGGGCGCTAATTAACCAATTTGAATCATTTTACTTCCAAATGACCTAGACCCTGTAGTCGAACATTGTACTAAAGTTTTTTGCAAATCAGACTTTGTATGTGCAAACAGGAGCAAATTTGATATTGTCAAAAATGGCCAACAAAATGCCACTTTCTGCCGCTCCGCTGCTCTAACAATGTTTTACTGATTGTAATACAAAATATGATTTTGTGATGTAATACAAAATAACATTTTAACTTAAGAAAAATGCTTTAAAATAGTGATCCTGATGGTCAGTAATGTGATTTAATAAAATTTGAGGTGATTTAATTTGATGTATGTAACATTATGCTAACTAGGTTAAAGTTCATTTAAGTGTGTTAAAGTTCACGGCAAGGAAGGACCGTATATGCTTAGAACTAGGCCAAAGTTCATTTAAGTAGGTGAAAGTTCAGCCTGCTGCGCTAAATGGGTGAGAGTTCATTCAAAGTAGGTGAAAGTTCAGCCTGCTGCGCTAACTGGGGGAAAGTTCATTCTAACTGGGTGAAAGTTCGATGCCTTGTGCGCTATCTAGGGGAAGTTCAAATAAGTGGGTGAGAGGTCATGCAGGCTGGAGGACCAAATATGTACATCCTTCCTGTCATGACCATAAACGCATTTCCTTCCTTGCCCATATATGTACATATACTTCCTGAATGAGGTCATCCTTAAGGCTAAGGGACTTTCCACTGCGTGCGCTATAAAAAGGGAAGTTCGGACAGAGTCAGAGAGTTAGGCAGCGTTTGTAGGGGGTGCTGCTCTAGCTTGTTTTTAGTCCCATAAAAATAAACACCAAATTAATGAATTTTTGGCCGGGTCTGACTTTTGGGCAAAATTTGGCAAGTTTTCATAATAGACTGTATATATTAACGGACATAGTCACGCCTATCTCCGCCGTTCTAACTAATGGGCCAAAAATTGGGCTTTCATGGAGTGATTCAAAATGGCCACGGGGGCTGGAAAATATGAAAAAACGCATCTGGGCCATAGACTGTATATATTAATGGACAGAGTCACGCCTATCTCCGCCGTTATAACTAATGGGCCAAAAAATGTGCTCTACTGGAGCAATCCAAAATGGCCGCGAGTGGTCCCGCCCACAAGAAAATTTTGAAACAACGCATCTGCGCATGCGTCAGCCGGCGCAACTCCATTCATTTGAACGAGAGACTTAAAAAATTCACAGCAAGTAAACTAGAGTGGACCAAAAAAATCCACCCCCCTCAGCATTGACACACATGTGGAACGGAGCTTTGGGCCAAGAGCCAACTTTTGGTCCATCCTGTAAAGACGTTTTTGAGAGGTCTGCCAATGCTATATGTTAGCATTGGCTAATTCTACTTCTGGGTCCACCCCCATCGGCCCGGGGTGGTATTTGCAAGCATGTCAGCGCACGTCATTTGGGCCACTTTTGAGCTGGGACCCTCCCTCACTGATCTGGGTATGTGTCAGCTGGCACGAGCCCCATTCATTTGAGTGACTTCAAAAATTCACAACGAGTAAACTAGACAGGTCCAAAAAAATTCACTCCCCTCAGCATTGACACACTTGTGGAACGGAGATTTGGGCCAAGAGCCAACTCTTGGGCCATCCTGTAAAGACGTTTTCGAGAGGTCAGCTAATGCTATATGTTAGCATTGGCTAATTCTTATTCCAGTTTTATCCCCATCGGCCCGGGGTGGTATTGCAAGTATGTCAACCACTTTTGAGTCGGGACCCGCCCCCACTGGTTTTCATGCATGTTCAGGGGGTCAAAATAAGGGTCAAAGAGCAGAAGAAAAAAGAAAGAAACAAAGGATTTTTGGCACATGATACATCATTTTAAAGTGTTTGAGTTTACGCACACAAGCGTCACGTTTTGCTGAGTGACGGGCACTGACGCGTCCGTCACGCACCGCGACCCCTTGCATTCAACATTGTGAAAGCAACAGGCCAGTCGGCGCCTATATATATATATATATATATATATATATATATATATATATATATATATATATATATATATATATATATATATATATATATATATATATATATCTCAATAATAAATCTATTTCATATGGAATTTCATTACAATTGATATGTAATGTAATGTATTGGTATGTTAATGTATCCTGCTTTTGTAGTTTTTTAGTGTAGTATTACACTACACTTATACTAAAGTAAGTGTCGTTTTGTATACTCCAAGTATTCCAAACAAAGGTTAATTTGTCTTTTCATTACCAAATCAAAACTTCCAATTTTGAATGAGTCATGGGCATAATGAAGTGCAGTGATTTGCTGACTGGTACCTGAGACCTCAACCACATCCCCGGGCACAATCTCGCGGGCCTTGATCTGCTGCACGCTCTTCCTGTCGGAGCGGTACACTTTCCCCATCTCCGGCTCATACTCCTTCAGAGCCTCAATAGCACTCTCAGCATTACGCTCCTGCACAGAATATCCACACAGCATTATGTTTAATCCCATGGGATTCATACATTTGAGAAACAGCTATTTTACAGCGTTCTGTATAACTTTAGTTTTCACCCAGCCCCTAATTCCGCCCACAGAATTTTATTTTCAACTTTAAGTCTATGCACTAGCCTAGTATTACCATACCCTCACACACATTTCAATTCGTAGATGTAGGGAAACAATAATTGACCGGAGTTTACGGACGCTAAGGCCAGGCTAATGCAGTTCCACTAAGTGGTGGAAAGTGAAACAAAAGTTGAAAGCACTGTAATTAAACAAAACATTTGTACATTATTAGTACATTATTTTAAAAATACTAATACTTATTTCACTACATTTCACTCCCTGCAATTTATACTAGTACATTATTCTCATTGTGTGTGTCATACCAAAATATTAGATACAAGGGGCTTTGACTTTTAGATACTAGGGGCTTTGACTTTTGCACAAAAATCATATTCGAAGTTTGTTTGTTTATTAATTTAAATATTTGAATATTTTTTTTTTCCAACAATATGTTTATTTCTCTTTTTAGGTTTTAAATGACATTCAACAGAACATCCTCTCAGACACAAAATACCATGTTACCATACATTATATTGATAATGCCCCTTGACACAAGATATCAGAGATCAATCATCTCTTATTGAGCAGGTCATTGAATGTATAATTATTCATAACCATGTTCCTCTTCATGATCTTCTGTTAAGTCTGTGCCTTCTGCAAAAAGCATGAACGGTCTCCAAATACTTTCGAACAAGTCCTTTTTTCCTTTTAACAAATATGTAATGCGTTCCAATGGAAGAGTAGCCAACATCTGTTTAACCCACTGTCCAATACTCGGTCTTCTTATGCTTTTCCAATGCAGTGCAATCAACATTTTAGCTTGTAATAAACAAATATCAATAAACAGCTTCTCATTTTTTGAATATGCTGTGTGCTTGGGATATAAACCTAAAATTATAAAGGAAGGTTCCAAAGGAAGGTCTTTAGAAATAATATCCTTCACCGTTTCCTTTATTTTACCCCAAAATGTGTTAATTTCTCTACATTCCCAAATACAATGAAACAGTGTTCCCTTCTCGTCTCCACACTTTGTACATATGTCCGGAATATTTGGATTGTATTGGTTTAATCTAACAGGAGTGACATAAACACGCATAAGCCACTTGTACTGTAACAATCTCAACCGAGAATTTATAGTTTGCTTATGCGCTTTACGGCAAGCCAATTGCCACTCATCTAGTGACAAATCTATTTGCAGATCTTTCTTCCAAGCTTCCAATTTTAAGGTTGAATTATCTGGGGAGTGTGATAGCAGTAGTTTATAAAATTGTGAGATTGCTCCCCTTTTAAGGCTATTTTCACTTATCATTTCTTCTAACTTAAATTTGGGTGGTTTCAATAGGTTGCTTTGTTTTGTTCCTATATAACTTCTAAGTTGGAGATACTTGAAAAAATATTTTCTTTGGATGTTGTATTTGTGTCTAAGCATGTCAAATGACATCATGTTGTCTGAGCCTGTTGGATATAGATCTTGAATTTTCTCCAATCCATTTAAAGCCCATTGCTTAAACACGGCATCGGCTCTCCCCGGGGAGAAGTTCTGATTTCCCCAAATTGGAGTTAGCCGTGATAAAATAATTGGTTCTTTAATGTGCCTTTTAACATTATACCACACCTTAACCATGTTTTTAACTATTGGGTTTTTAGTTTTCTTCATTAAATTAACTTCTGTATCAGAAAAAAGGTACAAAGGTAATGGAGGGCTCAAGATGTTACTTTCCATTTCGGTCCACTGGGGAGGGTCATTTTTGCAAAAATAGCACCCCATAGATCTGAGCTGAGCTGCCCAGTAGTACCATTCTATGTTTGGGCACATCAAGCCTCCTTCATCACAGGGTAAATGGAGTAATGACAGTCTTATTCTAGCACGTTTGTTTGACCATATAAAATCAAGAAGCAGTTTCTTAAATGTTTTAAACCAGTCAGCAGGGGCTGGCAAGGGAATATTCTGAAAAACATACAACAGTTTTGGAAGTATATTCATTTTGTAAATATTAATTCGACCTATAAGAGACATGGGAAGAAGACTCCATCTGTTGACACTATCTCTTATTTCGTTAGTTATCAGTTCATAATTATGCTGAACAATTAAATCTAAATTTGGAAGGATATGTATTCCTAAGTAAGTAAATTTAGAAACTGACTTGAATTGTGAAACGGCTACAGGCGGATTTTCTCTCTCTCCTTTATCTAGCAACAAGATTGATGATTTTAATCTGTTAACTACATATCCTGAAATATGACCAAACCCATCAATTAGTTTTAACAAAGCAGGGATAGATGAATTTAATTGTGAAAGGAATAAAATGATATCATCTGCATATAGCGACAGCCTGTGTTCTACCTGACCAACCGTGATTCCAGTTATGTGTAAATGTGACCGTACAGCTATAGCAAAGGGCTCCATTGCTAAAGTGAAGAGCAGCGGAGATAACGGACATCCTTGCCGACAGCCACGTTTAACTAAAATTGGTTTAGACACGTTTTTATTTGTTAAAATCTCTGCAGTTGGGTGTAAATATAATAGTTGTATCCATTTTAGAAATTTCTGTCCCAATCCAAATCGTTTTAACACATCAAAAAGATAGGCCCATTCTACCCTATCAAACGCTTTTTCAGCATCTAGGGAGAGGAGGGCCGTATCATTAGTGTTATCTAATGCTTGAATAACATTGAGAACCCTCCTAACATTGTGTAGACCTTGCCGACCTGAAACAAAGCCGTTTTGATCCCTGTGTATAATCAATGGAAGGGTTTCCTGCAAACGAGTTGCTAGTAATTTGCTGATTATCTTAAGATCTGAATTAAGCAGGCTTATTGGCCTCATATTTTCACATTTATCCCTAGATTTTCCAGGCTTAGGCAATAAGATAATTAATGCACTGACCATTGAGTTAGGGAGGTCCCCATCTATAAAAGCTTCCTGTAACATTTCCAATATTGGCCTTACCAACTTTCCTTTAAACTTTTTATAAAAGTCAATTGGAAACCCATCAGGTCCAGCTTTTTTACCTGTGCTCATGTTGTCAATTACTTTGACTATTTCATCTTCACTAATGTCTGAGTCTAATCGTTGGCCAAGTTCTTCTGTGATAGTTGGTATGTTTAATTTGTCTAGGAATAATTTCCGTGTGCTTGGATCTGTATGGTCCTGGGAATCATAAAGTTTTTCATAATAATTTCTAAATTCTTTATTTATCTCTATTGGATCCACAATTGTCTCCCCTTTTGTATTTGTTATTGTTGTTATGTCTTTTTGTGCTTCCAGTTGCTTTATTTGCCATGCTAAAATCTTACCGGGCTTTTCTCCCTGTTCATAAAAAGATTGATTTAACCTAAGTATGTTAGAGGCTGCCCTGTCCGCAGTAGCTTTATTGTATTGTGCTTTTAACAGCAACAGCTCTTTTTCTACATTTGAATTTTTATCTCTAAACAATTGTTTCTCCAAATTCTTTATTTTTTCTTCCAACTGTTGTCTTTTCTTGCGCTGTTTTTTAGATTTTGAAGAGGTATAAGAAATGATATAACCCCTTATGCAAGCCTTAAATGCATCCCATTTACACGAGCTGTGGTTTGTGTTGTGTTTAAACAAAAATATTCATCAATTTTATTCCCTACATATCCTATGAAAGCTTCATCCTTGAGCCATTTTTGATGTAAGCACCACCTAGGAGGGTCTATCAATAAATCTTTAAGAGTATATTTTATGTTACATGAAGCATGGTCTGAAATTGTTATACTATCATAGGAACAATCTCCCATATTAGGCAACAAGTCTGCCGAAATCAGAAAGTAATCTATGCGGGAGTATGTGTTAAATGTTTTAGAGTGACAAGAGTATGTAATATCGATAGGATTTTGATGTCGCCAAATATCTACCATCTGTAACTCCTTCATAAAATTCTGGATGATTTCTCTGCTTTTATGATGAGTCTGGTCAATTCCAGTGGATCGGTCTAGGATTGGATTCAAAACGCAGTTCCAATCTCCACCAATAATAACTTTACCTGAGAGAGAAGAAATGGTTAGAAATAAATTTGTAAAGAATCGATCATCATCTATATTTGGTCCATATACATTCACTAAGTTGAAATTTTCATGTAAAATTGATCCCTGGATAATCAAGTATCTTCCGAATTTATCTTTTATAACATTTGTAACATGCAAAGGCACCGATTTATGAATCAGTGTAATTACACCTCGAGCTCTTGATGTAAATGATGATGCATACAGTGATCCCTGCCACCTCCTGCTTATTCTGATATTTTCCTCCTCAAGAGTGTGGGTTTCCTGCAGGAAAACAATTTTAGAGCCTAGATCTTTTATTTTGTTCATAACCTGCTTGATCTTTTTAGATTTACCCAAGCCCCTGCAATTCCAGGAAGTATATTTAATTTCAAATTTTTGTGTCATCTAAACAAAAACATACAAGTCTTATTTTTCCACTGTGTAAATGTGTCTGAGAGTTAACACACACTAGAACATTAGAACAAAATGCTGCGAGCAGCACCAACATCACAAAAACAAAAAAACCCATCCCAGCTAACTGGGTAAACCCCTGAAATAGACTACTTCCACCGCGAACAACGTTTGATTCCTAGAATCTAAACTGTCGTCTCAATATTCACCTGCAACTGTATTCAAATAATGTATCCTTTTTTAACAGTACTTGCATTTGCAACTTCAAAATACCTACAATATGTGGTTGGCAGTGTCAGTACCTATAAACACAAGTCATTCTGTTTCTCCCGTTTCCATTTGGATCTTCTTGACAAAGATCTTGGCCTCCGCTGGGGAAGTGAACTTGTGGACTTTCTCCTTGTATGTCAGCACCAACGTGGATGGGGAAAGAATGCCATGTCGCACTCCAAGTTTACGCAGCTGGTCGCGAACAACATCAAACTGCT